AAAAAAAAAAAAAAAAAAAAAATTTGCCACAGTTTTAGCTATAGCAAAAAATTTAATTTTTATTTGTATTTGAAGTGTCAGTTCTATGAGAAAAGAACACATAAAGTGACAACAAATTTACTTGTAAACGTATATTATAACATTCAGTAAAAACAAAAATAAATTTATTGTTCTAAAATTTTTTAAACTCTATAAGCGGTACGTTTCAAAAGAAAACAAGAAAAAAAAAGTGGGTGTAAAAATGCTGCTACTCTTTTGTCATTTTATTGCTAGTTTTGTCGTTTGAACTACATACATGCATTCTTCAGAGGGAATTTTTTGCATCTGGTGAAAATGGTTGTAAAGTTATGGATGACGGTATACTATTTGTAAATAAGAGCGATGGACGACCAACCGGTGATGCTTTTGTGATGTTTGAAGATGAAGAAGCCGGCCAAAAAGCATTGGCCAAACATAAACATACCATTGGGAGTCGATATATTGAACTGTTCCGGTAAATACATTTAATAATTTCACTCAAGAGACTGACTTAATTTTAGCTCTTCAACTGAAAGACTATATACGGTTAACGATTGATGATAAGGTGTTTAACTTATCAGGTAAATCATTAAAGAATTATCTGAATAGATAAATTATTACAGATCAACGCAGGCTGAAGTTCAACAGGTTGTAAATAGAAGTTTGGAAAGTACCCAAATTCCAGTTCAAGGAAATCGTAAAGATTGTATTCGTCTTCGAGGCTTACCGTACGAAGCTCATGTTGAAAACATTGTCGAATTTCTCGGCGAAGCGTCTCGACACATTGTTTTCCAGGTTGAAATTGAAATAAATAAATTACTGTGCCGTTCTAGTAGCGGCATTAATTACGATAATTAATGCTATTTTTTTAAATTAAATTAATTAACTTCACCGAGTATTTGGAGTACAGGAAGTCAGCAGTTGGATTAATGTGTATCAGAAAAAAAAGCGTCAACTTCAAATCTCCATATTTCAGTTTTATTACCACCTTCCTTTTTAGGGAGTACATATGGTATACAATGCACAAGGACATCCAAGTGGTGAAGCATTTATTCAGATGGATTCAGAAATCAGTGCTGCAACAGCTGCTGCAATTGCACATAATAAATATATGCAAATTGGTAAAAAACAACGCTACATTGAGGTTTTCCAATGCAGCCCTGAAGATATGAATTTGGTAATTACCAGTCCACCACTCCCACCTCAACTTATTCTACCACATAGACCACTGTATCCACAACGTCAGTTTTATGATTTTTAAAAAAAAAAAAAAAACGTGAGCAATTTTTTTTTCAAAAAGATTTATAAAATGAAACATTTTATGCCGGTTGGACGAATTATGATGGATCATCATTTGCTACCTGTTTTTTCATCTCTGACACATGTATCAGTTTGTTCAAATTATGTTTTTTAAAACGAAAAAAAATCTATGTTTCAGCTGTAGCAAATATTGTTCCAACACTTGTGCCACCGTTCACCCCGGTATATTGGCCATATCCAAGTCCACCGGTATCACCAAATGTTTATCCACTGGCATCACAGCCCGGCATCGTTCTTATAACAGGTCTCTGTCAAAACGTCAATCCTCATGATATAATTGGTTATTTTCACTCTAATCCGGAGGTAAACATTATAAGCCATCGCCTCCTGTCCGTATTTTCACTTTGCAAGCTAAAAGAACCATGACTGTGAAGTCTGCAGTTTTCATTGGTTTTCTACTTTTTTTTTTCGCTTTCCTACTTTTTGATTTTCTTTTCTACTATTCTTTGACAACAATCATTACCCTTATAGTAACTTGTCGTTCTATACTGTTACAATTTACACTTATCAGTAGTGCCTCAGTGTGGTTAAGTGTTGCAACAAGTCAGTGAACAACAGTGGTTTGTAGATAACGGCGGAAGATGCGCAAATGTCGGCGTTGGGTTTAGTCCAGTGCGATGGAGAGGTGCCAGCCCAATTTCGATCGCACGTTGACGTCCCGGAATCAACAAGGATTCTGATGTCTTCTGAACAACCAACACATATACCGCTTGCATCGACATATCCACTAAATCAGTCGCTGATACACACATAATCTACCTACATCATCATTTTCAACAGTGACGACAACAAATATGCATAAAACCAAAGCATCAGTCTAGAAATATCATAAGAAAAACAAAATTAGAAAAAAAAAAAACAAAGCAAAAAATTGTAAATTAGGGACAAAGAATTCCTAACTAATCATTGTTATCATTACTAATATTATTATTAATATTATTATTTGTATTATTATAATTGTTACCATCACTGTTATAAAAATTACCATTGTTATTGTAACTTAAATGACTATTTACTCTATTACTATTATCACCATCATTGAACCTAACACAGATTTTACTGTTAAGTTTATAATCATTACTATTACTAATACCAATATCATTATAACATCTCTAAACTGATACTACAATTATAATCATAACTACTATTGTTACTATTATAATTATTTATCTGTCCTGAAACAAATGTGATAAACCTTGTTGTTTGTTTGTTCGTTTGTTTTTTGAAGATTTAATAGTTTTATCTTCTATTCTCAACTCCTCCTCCTGTTTTTTTTTCTTTTCCAGGTTATTATCGTAATTTGTGCCTTAAAAGCAGCAAAAAAATATTTATTTTTTATTTTTTTTTTATATCACTATTGGTTTAAAAGAAAAAAATTCTATTCGGCAGACGTGTTATTCTTTTTGTTTTCGCTGTTCTGTTTTTACATTTATTACTAATATTAATATCGATATTATTGTTGGTATTAATATTACTGTTAGATATCAATATTGATGTTGACACCAAGATTAATGTTGGTTATTACAAATACTGTTATCTATTGGTAACTGTACTCATCAATGTGTAATTACTGTTACTATTTCCTCAGAACTCTTTTCTAAACGGTTTTTCTTGTTGTCTGTTACATTGTCGATAATGAGTTTTTGT